AAACATTAGCACCTACCAAGAATATTTGTTCAAGACGTTAATTGGCTGCTCTTTAGCAAATCCCATGGGGAATGAGAAGTCTCCCAGAAAACATGGGATGCAAGTTACAGCTGATATTTAGAGACTGTTCCATTAATAAAGCACTTTGCTCACATTATCTCATTTGGACCACACAGCAGAGTTCTGTGAACAAGATGATGATTACAGAGGACGGCGCTAAGGCTGCAGAAGGTCATTTGCTAAAGATCACACAGCAGCTCACTAGGAGTACAGCCAGGGCTTGGCTTCAGTCTCTCAAGTGCCAGGCTAGTTCCTAACCATCTTACCTTCCCTTGCAGCACAAAAACCAAGCATCTAAGAGTGGTGCTAGGGGACCAAGACCTGAAAAAGACAGAATCTCATGAGCAGACCTTTGCAGTAGAGAAGATATTCAAGTACAGCCGCTACAATGAAAGAGATGAGATTCCCCACAATGACATTGGCAAGTCTCTGCTAGCGTGGATCTCCCGTGGGTCTTGTCCTGGGTGGATTTCTCTACTGATGGAAAGCTGAGGTTTGGTTCTCTTTGGTCCCTCGTAGACCCCGTAGAGAATTTATTCCAGGGCTTTTTAGTTCTTAAAGACTAGTGTGGTGGATAAATGTGCACAAGCTCTTAAATTGAGGGGAAGAAATGCTAGGAACATTGTGTTGTGGAAAGAGCTCAGCCTTGAGTCCTAGTTCCCCCACTTACTGGACACCTTCACCTTTCTTAGCCTCAGTTTGTTCTATAAAATGAGAACGCTGGCATACAACTCTCAGCTTCTTGTGTGTTAAGTGACAGGATGTGCCTGTGTCCCCATGTACATCTCACACCTGGTAGACAATGATATATGTAAGCTGCTTATTGCTCAGTTCTCAAGTCATGGTACCTCTCACTCTCCCTCCTTCCTCAGTATCTTTTTTTCCCCTCTTAAAAGTTGTTTTTTAAAAAATGAATTAAGGATGGTTTTAAACTCAACTACTATTTCTTTTCTTTTTTTTTCTTAAAGATTTTATTGGGGAATTGGGGGAGGGGAACAGACAAGTTGCCGTCCTTTTGTTCTTCAGTCTAGTTGTGGAGGATGTCACTTCACTGGCCCATGTTGGTGTTATCATTGCACTCTTTCCGGGTGAGGCAGATCGGTTGCCAGCCACTGGATGGCCGCTCACGGCGGCTCTTGGCAGCTCACGCTGGCTGCCGGCTACTCATGGTGGCTTATGGGAGCCCACTGCAGCTCCACTGCAGCCTACGCCATTGCCGGCGACTCATGGAAGCCCAGCTCCAGGTCGAGCTGCTGTTGTTCACCATCTTAGCTGTAGAGGGCGCAGCGTCAACGGCCCTCATGTGGGAGCTGAACCAAGGCCCTGCTGCCTGGAGCTGGCATCCCAAGCCAACTCTCAACCAACACGCCACTCGGCCAGCCCTCAACTACTATTTCTTGATATTACTCTCAGCCTGAAGGGTTACTCCTCCCCAGGTGGAACTTAAAAGAATGAAAGACAGAGGAAGTTTTTCAGGCATTTGAGGTGGGGTTTTGCTACCACCACCTTCCAGTCAAGCTGAAGCTGGTGTTTCTTTGACAGAGAGGATATCATCACCCATTTCCCCTTTCTCTCTCTACCTAGCTTTGCTCAAGCTAAAGCCAGTGAACGGCCACTGTGCTCAGGAATCCAAATACGTGAAGACTGTATGTTTGCCTGATGGTCCGTTTCCCTCTGGGACTGAATGCCACATCTCTGGCTGGGGTGTTACAGAAACAGGTGAATCTGGCCAAGCATTCTCCTGAGACTCAGGTGACTTACTTCAACCAGAGTAAAAAGGGTCAAACTCAACTGCTGTTCTGAACCTGAAATCAGTGTTCTATTCAAAATGTATTATCGAGATTGCCTGATCTCTCAAGCTCTAGTTAAATTTCATTGCCTCTAAGGAGTGTTCCCTGATCTCCATGTCTGTCCCTGGCTCCTACCCCTGGATCCTTGACTTCCATCAAGCACTGATTGTGTATTCATGAAGACCTTTTTTCTTCCTTAGGTAGACCAGAAAGAGGGTAAATGGGTGGGTGGTGGGGGGTGAGGGTGGGGGGATGATGAATTTTGGAGTCAGATGTGTTAGATTCTTGGCTTTGTCACTGGACAGCTGAGTTTGAGTTTTCCAATAACCATTCGTACCTCCTAGATTTGGAATCATGCTAATAGGAGATAACAGAATTCTATAGAAATAGTCATTAAGCCAGCCCCTGGAGGGCAGGGGTCAGGTCTCATTCACCTTTGCCTCTTCAACAGTGCTTTCATCAGGGCTGTCCACATAGTAGGCGTTCTATAAAGTTTTGTTAAATCAAGCTATTGACTTGTTTCTAGAATTTGGTCTTATCTAAAAAAGTAACCAAAGGGTTACTTGCCTCATAGTACCAATATGATGATACCCTCTAATATATGAAACTCAGAAGTGTATTTGAAGTCTTTTTCAAATACTCAAAATGGGTTTCTCTCCCCCACAAATCTTGTCCTTAATAATGGAAAGCTAGAATTCCTTTAAATAGGCCTGTGTTCATAAAGAAAGTGAAATGTAATATACAAATTTGTCAGAAGGCTTTGCGGATGGAAGATTTTTGCTTAACTGGATGTAGGGTTAGCCAGAAACCCTTTTTGTAGCTATCTTCATTGTTGTCCATCTAAACCTTTCAATATTAGCATACTGATCTGAACAGCCTGAGCAGAATAGAAGCTCTTTAGGGGAGGAAATGTCTATTCTGGAAAGCCCACCTAGACCAGGGGTCGGCAAACTGCGGCTCGTGAGCCACATTTGGCTCTTTGGGTACGTTCTGTCTCAAAAGTTTGCCGACCCCTGATCTAGATGATCAACCAGGGATATTCATCTATCATTAAGAATCGCCTGTGTACCAGGCCTCTACTAGGTATGGGGAATGTAAAAACGGTTTAAGACACCTTCCCTGTCCTCCCGACGTCACGGTCTAGTTGGGGAGACAGAGGAGGGAATCAATGATTCTGCTCCATTGTGATAGCGTGGCACTGAAGGACCACAAAGCCATGGTGAAGGCTGTGGGTGAAGAGCCCCCACATCACTTGAAAGATGAGGCTTCTCTGACTCTCTTCTGGGAACATTCTTCCTTCTGGAGCTCAGAGCTGGTGGCCTTCTTCTTTCCGCTGCTGGCTTCTGGTAGGGCAGGTGCCATGTTGGTCCCCACAGTGGTGACCTCTTTTCTCTGTCTCACAGGGGAGGGGTCCCGCCAGCTCTTGGACGCCAAAGTCAAGCTGATCACCAACACTTTGTGCAACTCCCGCCGCCTGTATGACCACATGATTGATGAGAGCATGATTTGTGCAGGAAATCTTCAGAAGCCTGGGCCAGACTCCTGCCAGGTCAGTGACTCCAGTGGCACTCAGAAAAAGAGAGGCTGGCGGGACCTGACACTGGGCACAGAGGCCGCTAAGAACCCTGGGCTGGGAGGCAGGTTCAGAGGCCCACCTTCCATAAAGCACAGGCATGGGCGGGCTTATCTGCCCTCTGCCAAATCTGAACCCACATCAATCCAGGGCGACTAGCGTAATAACCATAGTGATCACTTTGCCTCATCGCCTAATTTAATTCTCATAACACGTTGGTCAAGGGGATGCTGTTATCACCACTTGACAGATGCTTGAAGATGTTATTCTGGCCTATAGCACCAGGTAGTCAGTGCAGAGCAGGAATTTGAACAACTTGGATCTGTGGGACACCCAAGTCTTTGCTACTTGGCTTCACTGTGTTTAATGCGAAGATGGAGCCTCTGGCCTCAGTGCTGGGCAGCATGTCTGAAATCCCAATAAGCAGGGAACTGTCCGGAAGACCAGTGGCTAGAAGGAGAAAACTGAGAGGACCATAGTTATTGCAATATTAACTAACTAATCACTGGGATTTAAGTGTGTGTGTGTGTGTGTGTGTGTGTGTGTGTGTGTGTGTGTGTGTGTGTGTGTGAGAGAGAGAGAGAGAGAGAGAGAGAGAGAGAGAGAGAGNGAGAGAGAGAGAGAGAGAGAGAGAGAGAGAGAGAGAGAGAGAGAGAGAAATGACTAGCAAGCTAAGCCTCTCTGAGTGGCTCCTCTGTGGCCACAGGGCCAGCCTGACACTCCCCACAGTCTGGGTGTGCTGTGGCCCCAGCCCTGCGGCTTCTCTGCCAAGTCCTCACTGACTCAGGGACATGTGCTGGTATTTGCTTCTCTCCCCTCGGAGCTTTGCATCACATGAGTCACAGGAAGAGTGTTGTCACCGCTTTCCAGGGCAGGCCACCCCAACACCCGCTGGCATCCCCTCGTAGGAGGTGGGGGTGTCTCCGAATGTGCTCTGACTCACAAAGCTGAACTCCCCTGTCTTTTTTCCTTAGGGTGACTCTGGAGGCCCTCTGACCTGTGAGAGGAATGGCACCTACTACATCTATGGGATAGTGAGCTGGGGCCTGGAATGTGGGAAGAAGCCAGGGGTCTACACCCAAGTTAGCAAATTCCTGAAGTGGATCAAAGCCACCATGCAAAGAGCCTAGCTTCTAAGGTGTCTTCCGAACTCCAGAGCCCATCCTCCTCAGCACTCAGACAAGGCGAAGCTTCGTGGGCAGCAACAGACCCCCCCTGGGAGCCTGCAGGAGGCCACACCGCAGTGAAGTGTCCATGCTCTTTGGCCTGGGGCACCCTGGACCAGCATGTCCACCATTTCAGGCTCCCTCCTGAGTCACCCAAGAAAAGACAGAACCAACCCAAAATATATTACGTTTGCTTCCCTTCAAACATTTGTATCTTCTAGAAAAATCAGTGTTCGGTGATGGCCTCCACCTCGGACATTTGCAAATGTGGGATTTCAGAATGCCCAGCATCAGTGGAAGTCACCTTGACATCTTTATTCCTCAGCCCAGACGCTCAAGGCACACAACAGAACCAGCCATCCACTTCTAGGTATTAGACCGAGGACCAAAAATACAACACTCTCCATCTGCTTTCACAGAATTGTTATTTTAATAAAGGCAGATCAGGGGATGGGCCGGGGTGCCATTTTTTTTACAGCTCGCTCAAGCTGAAGCCATCTGAGCATGTCTCTGGTGTGCAAATTTCCTCTTCAGCTTCTCTTTCGAGAATCCCGGGTGGACACCCCTTGCTCACAACAGCAGAGCCTTCCTCCTTTTGACGTGCAGAATCTCAGCGGCATCTGGGTTCACATCCCCCCTCTGATTATCTCCAGTCGCCACAACCTCTGGCCCCCCCTACAGAAATCAAAGATACCTCCCTGAGTCAAAATGAAGCACCCTTCTTTCTCCCCCACCCACCCACCCTGGACAAGCTGTCTATGATGCCCGGGAGCATTTAAAATGTTCACCTTCTCCCTTTCCCCCTCCTCCACCCTCCCGCAGAAAAAGGTTCCTCAAGGCAAGAATAAGAAAGAAGCAAAAGCAATTTCTCATTTAGACGTGGCGCCTTTCTTCTGAACAAAGTAGGGTTCAAAACCCAGACTGTTGTAGCCAGCAAGTCCCTGACCCTTTCTGCGAGTGTAATGAGCAAGCAGGCAGCTCAGCCCACGCTGCCGTGGCCCAGGATTGATGTAGCCCCGGCAGGTCCGTCTCTGCCCAACTAATGGCTGTGACTTCAGAGAAAACCCTGTAGGAAGTTTAACCGGCGTGTCATTCGCCTGGTCATCTCAGACCCATGAAATTAGGCACCTTGCTTGAGCTGCATTTCACATGTCTTTCGAGCCAGCTGATCTTTGGCCAAAAATAAAGTTTGAAAAGAAACAATGAGTTTGCCTTGCCCCATGGCCCTGCAAGCTGGAGCGGGTTGGCAGCTTGCTACTCACGTAAGCCCCCTGGGGACTCCAGCTCCTTGCGTTGGCCAGTTCTGCAGCCCGCCGAGCCATTTCCACTTTGTAGGAGCCAGGAGGGGTCCAGCCAATACCTCTGGTCAGGTTCAAGTCTGATTTGTACTTGACCTTGCGGGAAGGAGGGAAGCAAGAGGAATAAATCGTCAGGGTTGGGGGCGATTTGGCCACAGGGCGAATAAGCTGCAAGGAGGCTGCGATATGGACAATGTATCGGTGTTAGAGAAGCCAGGACAAGGGGGAGCAGACTCATCTAAAGCAGGAAGTCTCTGACATTGAGGACCCCATGTGCTGTGAGCCAGCCCAGCATGTCACCGTCCTTTGCATCTTTCTGTTCAAGTTATGGGAACGACAATGGGGGTGGTGGATGGGGAGACCTGGCTCAAGCCTGAGCTCCTGCCTTAACTTGCTCTGTGGCCATAGGGCAGTGAATTCCCTTCGCTGGGGTTCAGCGTCCCCCAAAAAAGAAAAGCACAAGGGCTGGGTTAGGTCATTGCTAAGATCCCTTGCAAACAGTGTGGCATAGCAATCAAGAGCTTGGGGTCTCACATCAAATCAGATGGCGCTCATATCTCAGGTCTGCTACTAATCTGCTGTGGGATCGTGAATAAGCGACTTAACCTCTCTAAGCCTCACACTCCTCATCTGAATAACAAAATGGGGTTGTTGTGAGGGCCACATGGTACAATGCTTGGAAAGCATTTGCCACAGAGCCTGGCTCACAGTGAGGACTCGATAAACAGCACTTATGGTTACGATTTCTTTTAGAACTAAAGTATTAGGTGTCCTGGGTTCTATCTCAGCCTGGCTCCTCCCAGAGGTAATGTGATGTGGGGTTACGGCCATCTCTTCTGAGGAGGCACCAGGGGAAGGGCCTTGGTGGGGCGGGTGAGGGCAGCTCACATCACTCTGCAGCTGGTGCGCCTTCTGTGCGTGCTTCAGGCCCAGCTGCTCCGGGTCGCAGGTGGGCTGGGGCAGCGGCTGCCGATAACGCACGTCGCTAGCCAGCTGCTGGCTCCTCTTGGCCTGGAGGAAGCCGGGCTGGTCTGGGCGGCTGTGGAACTGGGACCGACTCTTAGCAAAGTCCTTCCTGTACTCATTGTCACTCTGGAGTTTGCCGACACTGAGGAAGTGCCTCATCCTTGGGTCATCATTGATGCTGCGGTACCCGATCTGCAGGCCCCGGTCCCGTAGGAAGGCTTCTCTGTACCGAAACTGCAGGTCAGAGAGAAGAGATGGGTCACAGGGGCCCACCTCTCCCCCGGGGCCAGCCCACAGGATGCTCAGCAGGAAATTCCACCGTGGGTGAAGGGCACAGCTTTGGATGATAGTAGGCCTGGTTTCGCCCTCTGCTACCTTCTAGCTGTGTGGCCTTGGGCCGGTTGCTGAGTCTCTCTGATCCTTGATTTCTCCATCTGATAAAATGGGAGAATAAACCTCCACCCCACTGAGAAGACTCAGTGAAATGGGAGATTAGCTTCCTGTCTGGCACCGAGTGGTGGCTACTGGTATTATCGCTGCTGTAATTCACAATCCAACAGGAAGAGAAGAACGCACATTCTCTCAGCAGCCACTCCTCCTTTGATTCTTTCCAGCTTCCAGGGACCCAGTCCAGTGGTCCTCAAACCATCTGAAGAAGCGGATTCATTTTGTTTTGCTGTTTTAATTTCCAATCCATCAAATCCAATATGTGGTCCTCCTGCCTGAGATTGATATGTGGCAGTACCACATGTATTTGAAAACACTCAAACTGGCCTCCCCACTGCTCAATGAGATGAACCCACAGGTCACATGCTTAGATGTCACAATGTCCAGTTGCTGAAAATGTTTTTAAAAGCTTGCTCTCAATGTCTGTACTTATCTCATTGTGAACCAGTAACAAGCCGGTCACGAATGATCACGTGTCTAGTCAATGATGCCTTCCTCTTCCATAATGACAGCTGCCATGTTTTGAACACCTGCTATGTATATGACACTGAAAACCATTTTGTTTTCATTTCTACATCAATCCTAGGAGACAAGGATTAGCTCCCTATTTCACAGCTGTAGACATTTGAGTTCAAAGAATTTAAGCAACTTGCCCAAGACCAGAGAGCTAAGTCCTAAGTGAGTGAGCCACGATCTTAGCTCAAGTCAATCTAGAGGGAAAACCCAATCTCTTTCAATCCTTTCACACTGCATTTCAGCTAAAAGAAGTACCTTTATTGCAGATCAACAAATCAATCACGTGTTGATTGGCTTCTAGGTACACATACAACAACTTTTAAGACTGGCTCTTTTAAAAAAAAGAGGGAGTGGAAATACAACCCTCCCCAATTCCATATTTCTGGCTAAGATTCTAGAAAATAAAACCTATATTCTTCTTTCACTCAGTGGTGATTCCTGGTGGTTTGCCTTTCAACAGACGTGAGGAAACACGAGTAAAACCTATCAGTGACAGAGGGAGAGAAAGCATGCGGTCTTACGTCACTGGCAATCTCCCTGGATGCCCGGGCAGTCTGGAATGGGATGGCATCCAGCCTGAAGTCATAGCCACCAGCCCGGGTCTGTTCCCAAGAGTTTCGGTAGACTTTCTAGGTAATGAAAATGAAGAAACGAGTGAGCAGGGAGTGAGTCACTCCATGTCTGCCATGTGTTGGTTCTTAGTGGGAGCAGTTCCTAAACATGTACGCTCTGCCTTGCTGGTACCTAGAACGGCAGGGTCCATGGTCTGCTGTCCATCCTGGGGACCTCCCAGCTTTAGGATTAGTGGGGCTGGCTGCCAAGGGCTTCAGCTCTAAGCCCAACCTAAGCATCATGCCCTGCTCTTGTGGATCGTGGGCTCTGTGGCGCTGGCCCGTTTGCCACATCCCATTGGTATCAGAGGCCCCCGCCCCACTTCGTCCTGTGTTTGCATTCCTTTCAGTGCCTCAGCTTCTGTTGTAGAGCCAGAGCTCAAAGTTCAAGAGCTCTGTTACTTCCACATGCTGAAAGTGCTGTTCTTTGGGTCCTGGTACCCCCGTGTTCATTAGCTCCACTGACTTCCTGGGGGCTCCTCGGCTACCTTTGGAATCATGTCACTCCATCACTAGGAAGCACGCTGCATCTCATATGTACCCGTGGTACCTGCATTGAGTGACAGAAGGGCCTTCACCTGAATTAAATTGATTGTCAAGAACCTGGCCGAGTTCCTGACCCATGCATTTCACATCTTCCTCTTTCATTTTTTTCCCTTTTCAAGTTGTTCTCACACTCCCTCCGGGAGTCTGTAATCATAACCTCTGAGTCCTCAGGTAGACCTACAACACCGACAGAGGCATCAAAATCTCTCATGCCTTCATGTAGCTAATATTTTTTTTCAAGATAAGGGAATGGCTCCATGAAAGGGATCATCTGGAGATCTCCATGGAGGATCTGTCCTTTATTCAGCCAAAGAGAAGGGAGACAGCAGGAGAGGCACATCACCAGCAGATGACAAAGTGACAGCCCCAGATCGTGTCGGCAGCTTGCTCATTCCGTGAGCCACAGTGGGTCAGGGTGCCCTTAAGAACCTTGCTTTTGTCACTTGGAAATAGAGGTCAAGGCTGGGGCTCTGTTCTATAGGGGGCTGGGCAGGGTTAAGCAAAGGAGCAGTGGCGGATAAAAAGATGAAAACTTCACCCACCCTACCACTGGGCCTGGAACTAGAGAGGACCATGAAGTGCTTGGGCCAAGCATGGTGGATCTTATCATTTTCCCGTCCTGCTGTCCACCTTCACCTGAGACATCGCCTCTAACGCCAACATCCAACACTGCAAATCAGGAGCCAAATACTATGTCCAAGGGCCTTGAAATACAGAACCAATAATCACTGGGATAATAATCTAATTGATGGATCTCAAACAGGGCCCAAGTGATTAGATGTACTGGGTCATTGTTGAGTTTAGCAGGCAGGACTGAGGGCCGCATAGAAGGACAGGAGCACTCAGAAAATGACTGATCGACCATTCACTTTAGCATGGTGCTTCCTGTTTGGGGTGGGGGTGGGGGACCCACAAATATTAGAGTAGCCAATAGAGTCATCCCCCTTATCATTCCCTGGAGATCCAGGGGACTGTCAGTGTCTTCCTAATAAGAGCCTCCAGACCAGATCCAGGCTAGGTAACGACACCAAATTTTACACAGCATCAAACTACGACGTCACCCCCACTTTGATATCCAATGCACCCCAGCTTCTGAGTCTCTGTAACAGACGGTCAACGAGGGAGCATGGCTGAAATTGGGCTTCTCCCCAAGGCGCTGGCTCCCCTCTCCTGCTCACTTCTCCCTGTATACTATTTGCTTGGTTGTCATCACTTCCTTCCTGAGTGTTTTATTCTGTTGAGGTTTTTGCCTTGCCACTGGGGGTCTTTAGATTCCGCAGGCTCTTTGATTTGGAACCCTGGGCATTCCTCTTCTTTATCACCGTGGGCACAGTTTTGTCCTCATCCTCACACATTAGAGTCATTTGATTTTTAGTTATTTCGGCTGCCTTACACATCTCAATGGCTTTCTTTGCCCAGGAAGGTCACTTTCCCTCCACTTCCTCCTCACAGAGCACTTGATTCAATTGTGGGTATTCTACCCGCCCCCGAAGAAGTGCGCTTTCAAAAGAGGTTCATGAGTTCTCCATGCCTGCACGCCCTGGTGGCTAATTTCAGCTGCAGGACTCTACAGACTGGCGTCTCTTGCAGAGGAAAGATGCTTGTGTCGCCAGCGCAGGGTGGTGGTCCTCCTTAAGCTGGGCCCCACACCGACTGGCAGTTTTATCCCAGTTTCCAGGGCTGCGTGGGCCTCCAATAGCTCCTCACATGGAGGCCTGGCCTTCCCCCTCCCCTGCCCCCCCCCCACATCCTTGAAGCATTAACGAGGCGGATGTTTTGTCCAAGCTCTGCTGAGGGGGAGGTCCCGCTTCCTCAGAGGGAGGTCAGCCCACCAGAGCTGCTGTTCTAAAATTATCCCTCGCACATCCCTCAAAAGCCTCAAATGGTCATAATAACTCATATTTACAAAGCACCTCGCATTCACTGCGTGGGATCCCACAGGGCTTTACAAACGCAACAAACTAATACACACGCTAACTAGACGGCGCCTCTCACCATCCCCTGCGAGGCGGCCACCTCCGGGGTGAATGGTAGCAGCTGTTGATCTGCACGGAGCCCCAGGACACAATGGCCAGGCCAGGGAGGGAAGAATGGCCGTCTCTGGGAGGCCCCACGCAGCCCCAGGCTGACACACTCAGCCTGTGTTATTCTGATCTGACAGCATCTTTTGATTCTGCCGCCTCGCTACCTGTTATCCCAGGATCACAGCGTTGCTGGCCGAGCAGCCGCCTATTCTATTATAGCCAGGGGCCTCCAACCCCTGCTAACATCAAGCCTGGGTTTAGGAAACGGCATCTTGGTTATGCACGCAAAGGGCACACATCCAAGGGGAACTGAAGTGTTGGCGGCCACAGCCCGGCGCACAAAGGAACAAACTGTATTTGGACCCGATGGGCCACAATTGCAGCATCTTTCCAAACTGCCAGGTGAGATGGAGCCACTCTGTCTCCAGAGTTACCCTCGGAATGGCTAAGGAGCGGTGTCCAGGAAACAAACAGAGCAGGGATCTACCCCTGCCAGGGCCAGGGGCCACTCCTCTGACTGGAACCCAGCACCCCACTGAGGTCTTTGCAGCCATGTCCAGGACCAGGACTGTGGAGCTAGAAGGAACCACAGGCACCATTAGCCCAGCTCTAGCCCCATTTCACAGTTGAGGAAACTGAGACCCAGCAAGGAAAGTGACTCAAAGTCACACATGCAGTTTGTCCCACTCTCAGTCTAGTGTTCCTTCTGTTCCATGTCCTCCTTCCTAAGACTTTTTTTTCTTTTTTTAAAAAACAAATAAAATCCAGTTTGGGCACAGATAATTTGACAGAAACAGGCACACCCTCATGAACTGTTGGTTCACTTACATCGCTCAGGTGCAGGGCATTGAGGCGGGCTCTGATGAAATCGGGGTGGTCAGGGATCAGGGTGTATCTGTGCAGGGATTCTGCGTCCCCCAACCGGTACAGGCGCTGCGGGTAAGACAGGCTCACGGTCAAGGTGGAACTACACTTGCTGAAAGCACAGGTGAGGAGCAGGCTGATCCTCTCTCCTGCCCCTCCCACTCGAGTGCCCACCTGCCCCACAGGGGCAGAGCCCCGCCTGCACGCACGTGGACAGCCTCCCTCCAGAGCCCACCGCCTGACGGAGGGCCCAGGTGGCCAGGGACAGGTAGGGTGGCTGCTTTTAAATAGTCCCTATTTAAAATATTCATCAAGACGTGCTCCAAATGGGCCACACACCAACATCCTGGCTGGCCATACCTGTGTGCTCTACAAACCGCATAGGAGGGCGGGTACCTCAGAGGCTCTTGGCTACTGAGAAGTGTTTATAAGCTTTTTACCAGTAACAAGAGGCCACAACGCCTTTGTTATTTAACATTAAGAAGAAGACACACAGCTATGTAGTTTTTTATTATAAAATAGCTTAACTGGCATTCAGAAAATTAAAGTTTTCATAGTCCACGTGGGTCCCCAGAAGACATAATTTTAAAACTCAAGCTTTATCTTAGCTGCTCTTTATAAAGCAGCGATTTAAGGATTGCAAACAATTTTAGGAAGTGTCTGAGTCATCTATGTTTAGAGAGGAAACTGTAATATTTAATATTGCGGCCCTTTCCCGAATTCATTTTGGGCTTTCCAAATGTGAAATGCTCAGTACGGCACTTAGACCCTGTGTGACAATGGTGCAGCTTTGTCATGGTGTGTGCAGAGTCGAATCCTTTGACCATTCCAGAGAAAAAATATTTAACTTCTTATTCTTTGAAATAAATGCAGGAGAGAGGAAATGGGGCTGAACCATACAGAGAGCAAAGCAGAAAGAAACTTTTAATACAGCTGTTCTTTTTTTTTTCTAACTGGGTTATGTTAAACTTATAATTCCATCACCATCTATCAACAATTGAGATGCATCTGATCCAGTGTCTGGTAAGAGGGTTGTCAATAATGCTTATGATTGTTATCGTTATGAATCAAGCCACACATAACAAGGGGAATTTACTGAGGACTTACTATGTTCCAGATACTTGCTAAAAGCTTCAAGTACTTTGATTTACTGAATCCTCATTTAATTCACTTAATCTTATGAAAGCGTTGCTATCCTGACCCTCCTTTCCAATAAGGAGACTGAGGTTAGAAGAGATTCAGTCACTGGCTAAGAGCATGCCAGTAGCAGACAGAAGGTGTGCACTCAACATCTATCCTAGTAGGAGCTTGTGGTCCTAATCGCTGACCACTGAGCGGCACTACCCACTACTGAGTGCCTGGGAAGGGTGAGGAGAAAACACCCACCTCATTGCAGTGCATGTAGCTGTTCTTGGCATGAACCAGGTCCGGGGAGTCAACCACCGAGGTGAACTTGATGCTGTCTGGTCTTTTGCGGTATTTGGTCTGTAAGAGGAAGACAAAAATCCCCATGAAAACAGTCAAACATTGTGTGTTTTTCCCAATGCAGCTTCACCCCCACCTACTCAGTATCAAATATGCCAATGACATTACTGGAACACAAGTCTCTTTTGTTGGTGGGCATGTTACAAGAACACAGAAGAGATGCAAGCTGCCTCTGTGATAAGGAACATTCTACAGGTAGAAACAAGGGGCTGCAAAATACTGGAGCTCATCACAAGGAATTCAGTAGAATGCAGGACTGAGCATCCGTGTGGCCCTGATGGGACCCTGTCCAAGCAAGTTCAGTTACTAAGAAGCTGAAGAAAGCAGGGCCACCCTCGAGGAGAATCCCAGGGCAAGAATCCCCGGGCTATCAATAAAGGAGGAGTTCAGTTACCAGAATGATTGCTGTGTAGCTTTTAACACTATCTGGAATCAGAGAACCCCTGGACACTAGACCCTCTGAGTAAACTTAGTGGGTGGGTGGCAAATTCTGTGCCCCCCCCCCCGCCATGAAAATAACGGGCCAGTTTAGATCATAATTGTACGTGAGGTATCTTTTGAGAACCTGCTAATGCATCTTCCATCTTTCACTGCCCAAGTTGGAGTGTGTCTTTAACTCCCCAGTAAGTGAATTCATTTGGAGAGAAGTCCTGTTCCATTTTAGGATTTGGTTACAAATGATGCCAGAAAAGCACTGGGAGTCCAGTGGCCATGGAGCCCTCTTGGGACCTCCACCCCATACGCGGGTTCCCTCTTCAGAAGGAAATAAACGCTAGGTTGCATTTATGGTACAGTCAGGTTGATGGTACCTCACTGACAAGCTCTCCAGCCTTCTTGGCACTCTCTATCTGTGGGGAACTCAGTGCCAGCCATCCTGTTCCCTTCATGGCCGTCAGGTCTGACTTATAGCGCAACTGTAAGAGGAAAAGCATTGACTTTTATCAGGGGTGTGTCTCAGCCTGTTGTGCATTCATAATAATTCTTCATCACAACATCCTGACATCTTCGTTCAGAGCGCAATCTGCATGTCATTAAGTCAATCCATCTGAGTTTGTGCACACTGCCAAAATTAAATAATGGATCATACACAAGATACAAGAAGACCCCACCAGTGGAATGGCAGGTTCGGAGGCAGGAGGGTAATGACCTATAAGAATGACCACTTAACGAAAGAGCTGAGATGTGCCCAAGCCGAGGACCAGCCCTGATGATCTTGTTTCATTCCGGCAGTGAGGTGACTGGCCGGCTGCCCACATCGAAACATTTACACACTCAGTTGATTAAAGTGCTGAGCTCCGGGTCAGACCTGCTGTAACTCGGAGCAAATCACTTTACCAAAATGTGACTCAGTTTCTCCCTGTGATGCGGAGGTCCTAAGAACCATGTTCTTATGAAAACACCTGAGAGTGTTCAGGGGCAAATGCCACTCTATACATTTGATTATTATTATTTTTCCTTATGGCAGTGGGGGGAGGGAGGACAATCATAGCAGGACTCAAAAAACTGGAACAAACTTAGATACAACCAGCTCATAGTGTGGAAGCCATTTTAATCTTTCCGTGCCTCAGTTTACCCCCTCCTCCAACCATTACTCATGATTTGATGATGTTGCAAAAATGGGCTAAGCTTTACCCATTTTTCTCCTTTTAAGGGCTCAGAGGACGAAAACTAAAGCGTCATTCCTGGGAAAAAATAGTAAATGGTGTTTAAAGACAATAGATCTGATCAGAGGTCTCCTAAAGCCTTAAATTTTATTACTATTCCTTGATCTGCCCTCCATTACCTATGGTGAGACAGTCTCCTGCAATGCTTTCTTTCTTCTCTCTATGGAAATTAGGCACTTTTAAAGGTGAAAACGACTCTCTAAGGAAGTCTAAAATTTGGGTCTAAATGAAGTTGATAGCAATTCTCTAATTTAGATATAAGCTGTGCTGTAACGCAAAATATCGCTCCAGAAATCAGCCTTTTCAGCCTTTTTAGTGTTCTTTCATTTCAGGATTCACAGCGTTCCTCACAGCTGGCCTCCATTTCTGATCTACTGTCTGCTGGGTAATGCCCGTGTACAAATCCGACTCTGCTTTCCAACTGGCACAGGGAGACACATCAGTCGGGTTCAGGAGCAGGTTTCAAAACCCCATGTCAGTTAAGATGGCTTTTTAGACCGCGATCTTTCAGTCTACACCGGCAAAGCTTTTGCCTTCCACTCTGATAAAGAACAGAGAAAATTGGATAAATTTCTAAGTTAGAGAGAATAATCCTACAGGGCCTCTTCACAGCCCAGCCTTGCTCCTTTCATAATCAAGATGAAGTGGGGAACGCTCTTTCAACTTGCCTTTTGTTGAGCTGAACAGTACGATCGCAGGTAAGTCAGAAAGCAAGATGCGGGTTCCCCAAAGATCTGACTGCGCCTCAGACTCTCTCATAAATGGATTGTCTATTGATATTTCAGCTCCCAGACCAGCTTTGACTATTCACGCAGACCCTAAAAACAACACGCGTACCCCAGACTTCACGATGAAAGAGGGGGAGGGAGGAGAAGAGTCAAGGAAAGGCAGCTACCCCAAGATGGTTTCGAAGGGGGATTCTAAGATCATAAGAGACCTTCTCAAGCTGCCCAACTGAACCCCCCATGAGGCAGCCTCGCTATTTTCCCTTGCACATATTAAGGCCTGGAAGTCACCTTCAGATTCACACAGGGGGTTTCCCGGCACCCCCTTTTTGGAGCATCGTATTGCAAATGCACAAGCTGCAGATCTTAGTGCCTGATTTCTAACAGGAACCATGTCAACAGTTGCACCCAAGAGGTGGCTGGGGAAAGAGTACTGTGTCCTATTGATAAGAATCATTTTAATCACTATCTCGCATAGGGTGTGCATTGCTTTAGACTCATTATCTCATTCTGTTCACACACTATCCTACAAAGGAGGAGTTCTCATTGCTATCGACAGAACAATTTTGGTGTTCAAATAAGATTGTTCTGTCTCAGAAGGGCCACCAGCTGCTATCCTCTGGACAAGCCACGCTGGTAGGTAGTTGGTAAGAGAGCCCTCAGGAGCCTGAGCACCCTGATTCCTAACCCAGCCACTTGGGGGCGCCAAAGTCAGGAGACAAGACCCCTGCTTTACCTTGTGCTTGCTGTTTGGTCTGGAGCAAGCCATTTCCTGCCGGTTGGTAACCCTAGGCATGCCACTTAAGGTTATAGGGGACTCTGTCGCTGCATCCGTAAAAATGGAAGCACCTGCCTAGATACTAAATGAGATAGTTGGTGCAAAATATTTAAACAAATGCCTGGTCCAGAGTAAGTATTCCACACATTGTGGGGTCTACTGTTCACAGCATCTTGGAATCCAGACCCCGAAATGAACAAACTTGAAGTTTGTAAAATAGTGCAGGAAGCATAATATGGTAATTTAAAAATTAAGCTATAATTTCTCAGCACTCGAAATTTTAATACATATCCTGTTTCGTAAAATGTTAGCCTCAGTTTGCCAACTACCATTTCCTGGGAAGGATTCTTTTTTTTCGACTTTTTCTCACTTGTTTTTAGTATTGAAATAGCCTTTCTTGTCAGAAATAACAGTGCTACAAAGGGTAGCTTGAGGTAGTATTTAGTTTTTCTCTTTTTCCTTACTTAGTAAAACAAAAACCTGACATTATGTTGATGCCACCATTTTACAAACATTTATCAGTGAAGCCTGAAATCTGAGCTCATGAATCAAATGGAAACTCTTTGCTTTTCCATTGGAAAAACGGGGGCCTAAAAAGGGAAGGGGCTGCTCAAGGACCCACAGCCAGCAAGTGACGAGGCTGGGCTTCCCACGCAGGTCTTCGGGCTCCCAGCTCGGGTCCCCTCACCTCTCCCAGGTGGCCTCCGTGTCTTCCTTGGGGCCTGTCCTGTCCCAGGAGGACTCACTCCGCCCTAGGATCAGCCATTGACAAGAGCACCGGAGTCATGCTGTGAACTGCGCTTGGGGGCTGCAGCATGACTTTCTAGCATGTGGAGAGCCTTTCTAAGTGGGCCGTGGATTGCAAGTCAGCGACCACATCCNCTAAAGGGCTGGGATATGAAATGGAAGGACAACGAGTTAGTGCTTGGGCGGCCCACACTGGAAGAAGGTGGGTGCATTGTTCACAGCCTCTTCACATGGACTTGCTTTAGGAAAGCGCTTGGTGGAGGGTGCATTTCATCTGCCCGGGGTCCATATTTACAGTCCAGCATCTGGCTTTGTACTGAAGCAAGGGCATTTTTTGTTGCAAGGCATGTTCTTTCTCACTGGTCGTTATCTGATTGCCCTAACACAGTCCAGTTGGGAGAGGAGAGGATATTATCCACAGGCAAAAGAAAGCTGGGGTTAGGGGCAAAAGGGCTAAAAATTGGTGAGCATCAAACACTGCCACAGGAAAGGACGTGGGTGCTCACATCACTTATGATTTCACCAGAGGCCTTTGCAGCCTGGAATGGGATGGCATCCAACCTCAGTTTATATCCACCATCTCGAAGTTTGCTCCAGGATTCCTTATACCGCGTCTGTTGGGAAGATGTGCACAAATAAAGACCGTCGTGTGACCTGGTGACTTACCCAACTCCTGCTACCAAAATGGGAATCTGGTTTGGTGTGGGGTTTTCTCCCATTTAGGAGTCAGAGATCACTGAGGCTTAGCAAAAATCAGCGAAGAGCTGAATCCTGCCTCATGCCCACCCTTGGAGGGGAGAGCCATGGAGGGGTGGGGGGAATGTTAAAAAGTAAGAGCTATGGAGTCAGACGGACTCAGAGTTCTCTGAGCAGCGATTGTTTGGAAGAAGGAGGCATGAGGCTGTATGTGCATGGTTCTTAAGGTGGGATAAGGAAACTCAGCTGTTTCCATCACAGAGCAGGAAAGGGGGTCCTGACAGAGCCTACAGAGGGGAGGGCTTAAATCCTCCAAGCCTCTACTTGGCACAGCTGCTGAATATGCTCGTCTATATTCTGATGCTCCCCTATTCCAGCCCCTCAGCACACATGCCCTCTGTACTAAGGCAGTTTTCTTAGTCCTATTCTTATGAGTTTGACTCTTCTGCATGACCAGCCACCAGCTATATGATTTGCAGGGCACAGTGCAAATGAAAAGGCAGGGCCCCTTGTTCAAACATACCACAAATTTCAAAATGGTGACAGCAGAGGATCAAACCAAGTGCGGGGCCCTTCTGAGCATAGGATGCTGGGCAATGGCCTAGGTCCCCTGATCTTGAATAATTAAAACCAGGGCCCTTCCATCAGCCTCACCTCACTGATGTTCATGGCATTCAACTTGGCCAGCAGGACTTCAGGGATGTCGGCGGTCTGCGTGTAATGATGCTTTATGTTCTCTCCTTGTTCCTTGTATAACCTCTGTGGGTGGAGAGACGCTTGGCATTAAACCCAGAAGCCTCCCCCATGCCGCCATCAGCCCGGCTAAACTCCAGGAGACAGAGGTGCTGCAGCTGCCACCTCCCCACAGAGACAGGATCACGGGTGCCGGGCCTCCACGTCGATTTTATAGCTAGCACGGTGACACGCACTCATTCTCTCCCAAGTTCTACGTCTCAGCGCAGAACATGACAGGCTGAAACCTCCCCTCAGTGAACGCTCCACTTGTAGCGCACGGCTGAGATGGGTGTCAAATGAGGAGTGAGGTCTAGTTAACATCCGGTAATTCTGCTGTTAACTATAAGCTATGATGTGAGAGGACATCAACATGCCGGAGGCATGAGAGACCACGGCTCTTCCACAGGAGAGCTTTTCCCCGGATGGACTTCCATCCTTATTCCCCTTTCCCATCTCAAGGATTNGGGTGAGAGTGGAAATGGTTTAATAGGTCTTCTAAAACAAAACCCAGCAGCAGAGGGCGGCATTAATTAATCATGGGTTAAGAAAGAACTAATAAATGAATCCGGAATCATCTGGCAAAGGCCTGTGTCTGTGTGGGAGGGGGCGCATGTGGGTACCTGAGTGATCTGGCTGACAGTTTAAAGGGTCTTCAATTTCACTCCCCTTAAGCCACCACGGGGCCTCGCTGCCTTCCAGCCTCTATCACAACAAGAGGTGGGGCAGGCGAGGGCTCTGCTCAAGTGACAAAGGGCCCCTAAGCAAAGCGTGGCAGCTCCCAGAGTCGACAGTCGCTCTCAGATTCTTGACAGTTTATGTTATTCAGTAAACGCCATACACAGGCATACAATCTGAACCGACCACGGATGTCCAGGTCTGAGCACTGCTCACCTTGCAGGTACTGCCAAACCAGGGCACAGGTCTGGTGCAGTATTTTCTTTTCTGACCCAGGCCCATTACTTGCAAATCTCACAGCACAAAAACCCAGCAAGCTGGGACGTAAGGTGAGGACCAAACAGGATGCTGCTGCCTGTTGGGGCGAGACATCCTGTATCTCTTTGGGAGTGGGGACATCCTCAGTGTTCTCAACCCTCCTGGGTCTGCCTGCTTCAGGAAACAGGCGGCTGAGCTAGGAATACACCTCCAGACTTAGCACCCCTTTCCTCATTTATAGTTGTGGGATCTTGGGCAGGCTATTTAACTTCTTCAAGTCTCAGTATAATTTCTCTGAAAAATGGGGCCAAACACTATTGATATAGGGTCATTTTGAGGTTTAAATGAAATCATGCATGAAAATAATGCTTAAAATTCAGCAGAAATAATCAATAAATTGTTGTTGTTGTTGTTAGATGTGTGCAGCTGTGCTTATTAAGAGCCAGGCAGGAACACAGGGGTAGGGCAGGGCGGTGTTTCAAAAGAAACCCCAGGTTTAGGACTCCTAGTCTCTACAGCCCCCGCCAGAGCCAACAGGAGTTGGCAGGTCACTGCCTCATGGTCCAATCAGCCCTGAGAGGTCAGGTGGCCTTACCTCGCTCTGCAACTGGTGAGCTTTCTTGGCACAGCTGAGCCTCAGGTCTTCCGCCAAGGAAGTGTGCTGGGGGAGCGGGTGTCTGTAGTCCTGGTCGCTGGCCAGGCTCTGAGCCTTCTTGGCATGCACCAGGGTTACCATGTCCAACGGCAGATGGAACTGCACCTTTGAGTGTTCAAAGCCTTTCTTGTAATTCACCTAGAGGGGCAGACAGATCAACAGTGGCTATTTCAAAGCCACCATTTGCATCAGGACCATGAGGGAGAGCAACTGCACTGTCACTGTCCCAGGTGAGCCCGGGAGATGTTCCTGGCAGGGCCCGGGCTTCTTTCTTGTGGGGACTGGCTTACTAAGCAGGACTGGTCTCCAGGTCCTGACGCTCTACCACCCCTGGATCCTGGAGGTCACTGTCTGGGATGACAATGGCCCATGGCTCCCGCATTGGGGAAATACAGAAGTTCAAGGGATAGGTAAAATGTAAATGATCTCCTTGCTCAAGACTTTAGTGCTTCCCATTTTCCAGAGGCCAGAGGAGGCATGGCCAGCCTGAACCCTACCATCACTCTTTCTTCCCTTCTACCTCTCAGGTTCAGGTTTTAGACACCAGGGGATTTCCTCTCAAGCTAGCTTACAAAGAGCTTCTTCAAAGCATCAGCTAACCTCCTGGGAAATCTGGGGGCCAGGGCTAGTGGGTGGATGCTTGGAAAGCCAGCTCGGAGGGGTGGCTATTCCCAAGAGCCAACATACGTCCTGAGGGAGGGAGGGAGAGACCCATTTCCAGACGCCAAGCTCCGCTACGGTCCGTGAAGGAGCTGTCTGCAGGCCTGTGAGGCTCGCTCAGCGCTTCTCGTGAGTCAGCTACACGATGGCCAGCTCCTCCCCCTCCACCCTGCCCACTGCCTTCCCACAGCGCCAGCCGCCCCTGCCTCGCCTCCCAGTCTCACCTCCGCTTTCTCCCCTCACCCCTTGCATAAAGCCAAGGACAATCCCCGTGCAACCCCATGCACTTAGGTCGGCACCCCAGAACAGAAAGGGAAAAACAGTCAGAAGTGGGGAAACTGAGGCAGAGACCACGTGAAGCTGTGGAGTGAGATGTGGAGCTGGTTCTGGGTCCTGGCCCTGCCCCTCCCTAGTGGATTTTAGGCAAGGGACTGAGCCACTCAGAGTCCAGGTCTCCTTAGCAGTAAACCCAGGATGAATAACCAGATGAAGTTCCTAGAGATGGTCTGATGGTCAAATGAGGCACTGCATGTAGAAGTGTCTGGTCCTCTGTAACAGTGTTGGCCACATATCAGCTTTCATCACTGCCACGAGCCAACTTGCATATGTACAAGGGGAGAGTGTACATGCACAGGTGCCAGCACCCGGAGGGCTGAAATCAAGGCTTGCAAACTCAGATGCCTCTGGGAGCCAGACAGGTAGCATCCATGAGGGAAGGAGGAAGTGGTGATGGGGGTGGGGGGGGGCATGACCAGGAGAGCGCAGACCCCTTCTAAATGGAGCTCTCAGTCATCAACTTTAGCTGTAGCCTGGAGGAATCCAGGCCCAACTTCTGACCAGAAGTTGAAAACTTTTAGGTAAAACTACCCATTTTTAAAGGTTTGCAGTTAATTCCCTCTGCAGATCAAACAAAACACCTATGTAGTCTCCAGGCCCCCATTGGTGGTCACTGGTCAAAATCACAGAGTGCCCCAGCCTGGAAGGGAGCTAAGGGGTCAGCTAGCCAAAATTCTCACTTGACTGAGGAAGAAATTGAAACCCAGAGAGGCCAACAGACCTGACCACGCCACAGAGCTAGTTAGGACAGAGCCAGTCCCCACAACCAGAAGGACAAATGACATTAGTTGGCTGTGCATCTTTGAGGTGTGTGTGTGTGTGTGTGTGTGTGTGTGTGTGGCCNCTGGATGTTTCCCTGGGTGGTATCACGCCAAGGATGCCCTGGGCGGCTCGGCCAAGTACAAAAACATCTATTCTCGTGGTCAGAAATGGGCCTGTGGTTACTGAGTTCTCTGAGCCCAGAGGCCTGTTGTAAGCGCCGTTGTTACCCTCACAGCGCCCAGCTCCCAAAGCAGGCAGAAAAAGATTAAACGGGAATTTAAAACTGGCAACCGCACCACACAACCCCCTTGGACATTCTTCTCCCAAGATGCTACTTCTTACCTTTTGACTTGGGGTGAGAGTGGAAACTAACAGTATAAACAGCCAAATCTCAACTGACTTCTAAAACTTAGTCAGAAGGAGAATCGTAAAAACTAGAGATGATACAAAATTTAACTCTCTGCCAAGCTCACTTTCTATTTCAAATTTAGAGAGCCACTAAGAAGTAGTAGGCCCGGAATGATGATTTTATGTAACGAGATCCCGTCCCCTGCATCCCCCTCTGTTAGAGATATTCAAGTGTGAACCGGGTAAATGGTGAGTGAGAAGATGAGGTAGAAATGCGAGAAGCCTGACACCCATACGACAGAACTGTCCTTCACTAACCATAAATCCTCCTTATAATCATCATCAGAATGACAATATGAAAATGGTTATCCCATAGCTCCCTGGATGGAACCAAGGAACGACAGACCAGTGCTTGTCAAACTTTAATGTGCAAAGAAAACACATGAGGATCGTGCTAAATGACCACGTGGATTCAGTGGGTCTGGCAGGGGGGCCCTGAGGGTCAGCATTTCTAACAAGCTCCAAGGACACACTGGTGCTACGGTCTGCAAGTGCCCTTGAAGAGCGAGACTCTATTTTGTTTTTTGTTTTTTTAGCTGAGCCATCCTGCCACCTGTTGGCAGCTCAGCAGCAGCTCAGCTCAGGCCGGACTCGAACCGCTGTTGCTCAGAGCTCAAACTCTTAAGCGAGCTCTTAACCAACTGAGCCACTCAGCCGGCCCAGCGAGACTCTAGATTTAGCCAGATTTCCAATTAGGCCTCCTTTCCTTCTAGAAAATGTTTAGACTCTGTATAATGACATTCTTTTCTTCTAAAACTCCATGCAAACACCCATGCTTTTTGCCCGCCTCAACCCCACAAAGAGTCACGTATATTTTAAACAACCCAGCAGTTTTTAAAACGCCCATTCCAAAGCCATCAGGGGATGTTACCTCGTTGGTAAGCTGGTTGCTGAGTTTTGCCTGAAGGAGGCTGGGAGTGTCTGTCACAGCTGTGTACTTGAACAACTGGGGATGCTGGCGATATTTACTCTGAATTCACACACGAGAAGGAACAAGAAGACTCGGTAAGGCATAAAAACCAGAAGAAGAACCGGCTCTTGACATGCTAGTTATAAAACCTCAGGTTGCAAAGGCTGCTAATCTGTCCCGTGGAATCCAGTCTGTCACCTGCTCTTACGACCTGAGAACGCAACAGGATGAAGAAGCAGAGAGGACAGGGTGGTCTGACTCGGATACCTGACCACAGGAAAGGGAGAGCTAGTCCTCTGCCATGAATAGGAACACGACATTGGAAGTCGAGATCTGCTCTCCGCGGGGCTCACTCGAGAGCCAGCGCTCCTCAGCTTTGGGCGTGTACCGGAAACAACTGTGCAGCTTAAAATATACACGCGCCTGCACGCACCCTGGGAGGCCAGGAGTCAGTAAAGTGTCAGTGGACCCAGGCCTCTGGATTTGTTTTTAAAGTTTCTCTGGGGGTGCTGATGCACCATAAGGCTTAGAACCACTCGCTTTAGAGATTTCGCTGGAAAAGCAAAGCACAAAGTTAAATCTAAATTCCCACAGTGAGGCCACCTTGGCTTGCCCGGAGCTCCTAATCGACGTACACGCGAACCGTAAGCCCATCTGAGGCAGCCGCGCTGGCCACTGACCGCCTTTTACTCCAGTGCCTTGCACTACACCCTCCTGTCCTTGCTTTACCATGAAGGGAAGTCCTAGAGCCCTCTCAGGGGTGAGCAAGATTCCTCAAGATTCAAAGAGCTTGGAATTCTAGACTTCTGTATTTTTACCAAGAAATTAGCACCAAGCTCAGAATAACCATTTCATATACAGCCACCAGAGAAGCACAATGCTTAGCATAGTGCTAATCCTCAAAAAAAAAAAACTAAACAAAGGAGGTACGAGGATCCCCATTTGACGGGTTAAAAAGGTGAGGCTCAGAGAGGGTAGGTGACTGGCTTGAGATCACACAGCATATGGAATGTTAGTCTCCATCTGTTGGTCTCCAAAGCCTGCACACTTTACATTGTACTACAGGGCCAATCTCCAAAGGGACACAAGGAAAGTACATCTTAGGAGTCAGTGAATNCCTTAACAGTGAACAACGCAGATCGTCTTAATAATTAGATGACAATTCAATTTGTTCAATCATCGTATCACAATTAAACATTGATTATGTGTTTATAATACTCTGCCTGTGCCGTAACTAAACTAAGGGCAGTCACTGCCTGAGGGCGACCAGAATCGGAAGGCTTGGTGCAGAGAACACAGTCAAAACAGCTAGCACTCCCGTGACATACATATATAGTGTGTGATATGCACATACATGTATTTAATTATACTTGACATTTTGTACACCTCAGACTAATAAAAAAAACCACACGAAAAACTAAAAATAAAAAAGTCGCTGAACATTCTACAGTATGCAGAACTCCACAATAAAAAAATTATTTAGCACCCTCCCCTCAAACAAAACAAGACAAAACAAAACAAACCCAGCTGTCACTCACCAGCATGCCTCTATGGACTGGGCACTTGGCTAAGTGCTTCCTATAGACCAGTTCTCAAATGAGAACTGGGTTCTCAAGAGGGTGCAATTTTGTCCCCTGGGTACATTTGGCAATATTTTAAGACCTTTTTGATTGTCACACTGTGGGGGGCGGGGTGCTATTTGTTGCTAGTGGGTAGAGGCCAGGATGCTGTGACACACAGGACAGGCCCCTATGACAACGAATTATCTAGCCCAAATGTCAAAGGTGCCCGAGTTGAGAAACCCTGATAGGAACGATGAGGGTGACTGTGACAACCGTCCCGTGGGTTAGGCTCTAGAACAAGCGTGCCTCCCTCCAGGGCATGCCTCGAGAGACAATGCGTACGAAGCCCGTAAGTGCGGACCACAACCACATTATCATCGTTTCCACATCCCAGCGGAGGAAAACACGGTCTGGAGGAGGCATGGGACTGACCCGAGGAGCTGACTCCAGAGCCTTCCACTCTAACATGGGCGGGGCGGGTCTACCCACCCCCTTGCTTGGCACCCTTGCTCGGGGGAGGACCTCCCCTTTCTGGTGTTTACATCTGAGCTGTAGAAAGCATGGCTTCCCTGCAGTGAGCTCCTTGTGGGAGAGCAGCCAAGTGTGGGTTCTCAGTAGTCCTGCCCCGGCACCTCCCACATGAGCTCATCTTTAAAACACAAGTAACAGCTGTCCCCGCCTCACAGCATAGCGAGGGCGACAGGAACAACAAGCAGTCAGGAAGTGCCAGCTACAGCTACAGTTACTCTTCTATCATCACCATCACTGCCCGGCTTTGTTTGTCTCCACAGCAGGTATCACCCTCCGACACGCTAAACATTTTATTTATCACATTGTATCTCCCTCCTATATCACGGAAGATCCATGGGCACAGGGATTTTTCTGGCTCTTTTGTTGACTGCTATATCGTCAGCACCTGGAATACTGCATGGCACATAGTAGGTGCTCAATAAATATTTACTGAACGATTGATTGATTCCAACCTAGATAACACAGGCCGAGCAAGTCATTGTTGGGGGGAGGGGGTGTCTGAAAGGCTAAGGAAGAAGCTGAGATTTACACCCAGGCTTGGTGGGAAGGGAGTTGGGGGCTGGTGTGCAGTCTGCAAGGCTCCTCCCCTACCTCACTCTGCAGGGCGTGAGCTTTCTTGGCACAGGCCATCTTCAGGTCTTCGGGCAGCGCTGTGAACTCGTGGCACTGTGTCCTGTAGTCATGGTCGCTGGCCAGGGCCTGGGCCTTCCTGGCGTGGACCAGGTGCACCATGTCCATGGGCAGGTGGCACTGGGCCTGGCTGCCCACCGCCTCCCGCCTGTACTGGTGCTCACTCTGCAGTTGGCCCATCCGCTGGCAGTGCTGGAGCCGGGGGTCATCATTCACACTCCGGACCCCGATCAGCCTCCCTCGCTCCTTTGCAAAGTCATGTCTGTAGAGAAACTGAAAGGAGGAAGACCAGCCCGTCAGAGGCCAGCACTCAGGCTGCTTGAACTCCATCTGTGCATTTTCATCGTAGACCCTAGAAAAATCACCCGTTCTTATACTAGGAGGTGATGATTAGAAGAAAAACCACAGTGAGGTTGGCCTGAGAGCAAGCTTCCTCCAGGGGAATGAACAATTAAAACATCCCTCCATTCCTCCTTTCTAATTACAACCAGATCCTCAGAACTGAAGGACGGGCCCCCTCCCCGTGTGTGTCCTGTGACAGAAAGGAATTTATCAGAAAGGGTAAAAGAGAAATGTGTGCCTTATCCATTCGCACTTGGCAAAAACGTTACGCCCAAAAGACAGGATCCATTTATTTGAAGTCCACATTGTCTGTGATTTGTTTGTGGGAAAGAGAAAGTCACCTTCATGTCCCAAAGCTATGGATGCTATCAACAGAGTGGCTGCCAAATCCTAACACTGACATGTGAAACTACAGAGAGCCAGAGGGAGACACATTAGGGCTGCAGGCAGTGTCCACGTTACAGGGGGTGGTGGCCGAGACCCTGCAACTAGACATAAATCGTAGCCCCCTTCCTGCTGGACGCCTCTGCCTGAATTTAGCATCTCATTAACAAAAGCTTTCTTTCCCTCCCTCCATCAAAGAATCTCATTCATAACTAATATATTCTGCAGGTGACATCCTGTCTCACATGGTGATAGATTTGCTTTAATTCAGGAAAATCAGCTGTAGACATTGTTTTACATGAAGTTAACAGAAATTAGGCAAGATGGAAGGTCATATCATTCAACTCACATCACTGGCTATATCTCCAGAGACCCGAGCAGCCTGGAAGGGGAGAGCGTCTATTGTCAGCTTGTAGCCTTGAGCGCGGAGATTACGCCAAGACTCCTGGTATTTTGCCTACAGTAGGAACACATGTAGATCTTCTTTTAAAAAAAAATTACATGAATCAATGAACAAAGGCTACCCCTTTCATTTGTAGTACAGTGTTCCAGGATCGATTTCTGACAAGCAGAAGCTTTCTATTTGGCGAAGAAAATCTCATTAGCGCACGCTGTAGCGGGCTCCGACATGCATGTATGCAACGCATTTGTGAAAAGGTATATTTAACACAAGCATTTAAGAAACACATTTTTTTGAAAGTTTTGATGAATGCCGGGAAGGCCACTGTTAGATCACATCACAGACACAGACATACACGGCTTTGGAGCACGCTTGAACTTCAGCAACAAGAAAGGCTTACGTCACTCAGATTGGCCGCGTTTGTTTTCGCTCGGACAAACTCGGGCAGACCCAGGGTCATTGTGTACTGGTGTCTTGCATCCTCCCCGGCTGCTTTATAGAGGCGCTGGGGGCAAAAATAGAAAGTAAGAAAGAAAAAAAAGAAAGACAGAAAGGAAAAGGAAAATTAAAAGCAAGAAGGTAAGTGCTGTGCATTTCTGCAGTGCTGGAGGCCCCTCGTTTGCCATTGGGAAACATCTATACAAGACCATTTGTTGTGTTGTGAGTACACCGTCAGCCTTGGGGAGGGTGTTTCCTTCAATAAAGACAGTCTTTCATGAGTCAAATTGAGTGACATAAAAGGAGTATGTAAGAAATTGCAAGTTGCTTTTGATAGGGTTCAGGGAGTGTCACCCTAAAACATGGCACCTTGGCCTATTAAATATTTCAGGCTGAAAGAATCTGAGAAAC